TTTGTCATGTGATTCAATACGAAAGTATTGAATGACGTGTTTTAATCAGTGTTGCTAAGGCAACACCTCTTGCATTGCTGCACATTTTAAATGATGACTGAACACTATCCCAGCAAGGTAGAAAATTTGGAAATCAGCATTGGTATTAAGCCACACCATCTGATGTTCTACTCTGGTGCCTCTGTCGCTGTGTGCAGTAGTTCCAATCGTGCTGACTGTTGTGGCGCTTATCTTTTTCTGTAAAATTGTTGCAGTTTAGGTGGATGGTTAAAGCAAACCATATGATTTTGAGTAATAGCTTCAAGGTTAATCAATGCTTTTTAACAAATGTAAAAACACTCAACTCCAACCTTTCTGACTACTGCAACAGCCTACTTATTGCTATTTTGATTTACTATGAAGCAAGTCATTTAACTTATTCAATTATAGGACACATTTCTGACAGCTCAGTACTGTTTTCACTTCAGCATCTTCAGAGCAATTGAAAAACCTGCTATGGTTCTGGATTGGTTGGGAGGTCCTTCCTGAGGAGCTGATCGTGAAGTTGGTAAGTGGCCAACTCCCCAGGGCCTTGACTTGCTTCGAGACCATCAAGTTGCCGGACCATCACAAACACTACAAAGATTTTGAGTCGAACTTGTTGTGTGCTATTGCTACCAGCGAAACAGGGTTTGGTCTTGTGTAAAGGCAAATTTTATTTTGGACTTTGGTGTTGCCGTGTTTAAGTAAAAAAAATTGTGTTTCAACAAAAGAGCTATACTGGAAAGTTTGCATTCTTTCAAGACACTTACACAGAGCTATTCCCCTTTCTTTTTTCTGTTAACTTCTCTGTTTATTAAAATTCTAACTCTAAATCTAACTCTGTTAGTTCCAACTTATGTATGGCCAGTGCCTAAAATGTTTCAAACAGCTTAACCTTTTAGGTGTGTACTATCAAAATTGAAATCTTTATTTATTCTACTACTCAGGGCTATGCTCTTCTTTTGCTTTGTTAAATTTACTTAAAATCTTTGTTTTGCATTTGCTATAAATGTTCAATACCATTTTCCACATTCCTCTATAAATATGTGGTCTGCAAATGGTTACTCTAATTTGTTTTGTATACATTTCAATAAAAAGCATTTTTTCATAAAGTTTTGTCACTTTCTCTTGAAATCAGTAGGTGCATTAATACATTTATTTAAAATTACAGTTGCATTTGAAATTTCTTTTTCTGTTAATTTCTCTTACAATTAATCGGAAGTAAATTGTTCTTGCCTTTGGTAAACTGTACACAAAAACTTTAATGTGACCAGAAGGACAGTCTAACATTTGTTTTGATGCAAATGCAAAGCTTCCTTTTGCTTTATAAAATGTAATAGCCAAAACAAAAGCGCGCGCCGGCGCGTTCATGACGCTACGGAAGCCGGCAGACCAAACCAGATGAAAGTGCGCATTCAGCGTCTGCTCTGCCGATAATGCAAGCGTAGAAGAAGAAATGTGCTGTTTACCTGTGCAAAGAAAGAAACAACGAAAGAAAAATGTCTGAGGACTTCAGTGTTGAGGAAGAGCATGAGTTCTTTGCTGAGCTGAATGCGCACTTTCATCTGGCTTGGTCTGCCGCGGTTTCCGTAGCGTCATGAACGCGCCGGCGCGCGCTTTCAGGAAGTCCTATACACTACTGTTTATGCTCTAAAAACATTCTAAAGGACTTCGTTTCGAGTAAATTCTGGATGCTACCCACTCAGGACACTTGGAATACATTGGACGAGCAGTATGGAGGAATATTGACACGTTTTTTGTGGACTTTTATGGACCTTTCTGTCTCGGGCACAATAGACCTCCATTATTTGAATGTCAGCAGACAGCAAGAAGCCTCCCAGATCTCCAGATGCATTTGAGATATCAAAAAAGTACTCCAGGGTGTTGTTCAGCATGGGGGTGAGTAGAAAATGAAGGCTAATCATGTTTTGGGTGTACTATTCCTTTAAGTGCTAACTATTACAGCCAAAACTACTGTAAGCTCTTAAGTGCTAACTATTAACACACAAATCAAGCAACTTCATCTGTTCTGAATGATTCTTTGGACACTTTCAACTGTGGCCATGTAAATGTCCATTCCATAACAAGCAGAGGGAGCAGTGGGATCTATTGCTCTTTTGAGGTTCTTCATCTCCAGTTCACTCAGGGGTTTCTGGAGAACTGGAACAATAACGCCTGGGCTCTGGCCAGCATCGATTCCACTGGACTCCCACTCAATGTCTGGCAAGTGCAACTCCTACAGCAAAAATTAGATACCGTTAGGAAAACATTGGGCTGCTTAATGCTCTTGAGTCCTACTCTGATGACCATTTATCTGACATTCCACTATTTTTTAATATTGAAGTAAAGAAAACAGAATGTGTTCATTTAAATTAACAACACAAAATAAACTTTAGACTGAGTACCAACACAGAACAGGGTCACAAACAAGTTAGGCATCTTACGTACGCTAGGGACATGAGGGTCTGGAACAGGACACTGCATTTGCCCCATTTCCCACAGTTGGTTAGGTGACAAGTTCTGTTCAGATTTTCACCTCCAACTGGTGCCATCACCCCACATCCCCACTGTATCTATGACTTTCTATACAATCTCTTACTTTATATGTCAGAAAGTAAGAAGCCAAAAAGTCTGCCATGTTTGTATATATTCTCATCACTCAAGTCTTGTTTGACTACGGCAGATTTTAAATATCAACAGTGAATAACCCGATTCTCTACAGAAGAATCAGTGTGGGGTGTTGCCCTTAGTGCTCACCCCACACCATATGATCAGAAGACAGATCTTGTGTAATTTGTCTTTTGTTATGACCAAGCATGTGGTCTCTAAATCTGTGAAGATTCTATAAATCCTTTAGTGTACCTGGCTTAACCCTGTTTGAGTTGAGCTTTCAAGAAGCTTTGGGTAACATCTGCATTTTCCTTTTAATCATGTAACACTTTTGCTACAGCAAATGTGTTTCAAGTGAAAGGAGCACTAAAAGTAAAATGTACAATTTTCAGTGCTGCCTTGCTCCTTGTAAGTGCTGTGCTATAATTTCTGGTGGAGAGTTAGTAGGCACTGTTTCCCATTGTAATCCTACAATACCACAAATATGTTACTTCTTTTTTAACTTATCGTTTGTTTGGACTGGTTAGTTCCATTGAACAGTTTCCTTTTCAAGGCCCACCCATTTCCTAGCATGCATTATAGGATGGTGGGGGAAACTTAAGCACCCCAAGGAAATCCACACAAACTCCACACAGAAAGATCATGTACCAGGTGGGAATTGAATCCTTTTTACTGTGGGTTAACAGTGCTAAGCACTGTGACACCATGAAGCTGTATGTTGATGCAAAGGCATTGAATTCGGTTGAAAAATGCAGTAATACTCATTATATTACTAAGAGTCAGATTTCACACTTTTTAACCATTATTTTCCTATCATAAACCTATATGTAATATACCTGTATTGGCATCAAACAAAAAACACCATTATATTATACATAGGCGTAAAATATAAGAAAATATGTTAAAACAGTGGAAAACAAAACCAAATATTTTTCTTCCAATAAAACCCAAACATTAAAAACTGCATGATTAGGTATCATAATAGCAGTGTGATAAAAAAAAAAAGGAGAGCCTGCACACAAAAATTGAGTGCTTGTATTTTCGTGGCACTGTTACTAGTGTGCCAGATAATTGGCTTTTGTTTTCTACCAGAATAATAAATTGTATGTGAATGGATGTCCTTTATGCACAATTTGTGTACAAGCGCTTAAGAGCTGAAAAACAATATAAAAAAAGGATTCTACCTTTGGTTGTGTTCACTTTTCCCAGCAATGAAACTCCCAATTCCAGTACCACATACTGAGAACATGAGGCGTGCCACACCAACATTCTCCACTCCGTGATCAGCTCTCACTCTGAAAATATAAACAATGGATACAAGCAAATTTTATGAACTTTTGAGAAACAAATGCTATTTCAGGTCATTGAGAGTTCAAGGCTTAGCTCTTAATAAACTTTGTAAAGGTAAACTTCCTGTATATAGTGACTTAACTGGTCTGTAGTCAGTTTGATACACATGTTGACATGATTATATGAACTAAAGCTAAAGCACATGTTAGCATTTGATTGACCTTGGTTAAACGTGCACTTCAGTAATAAATAAAATATTGACAGTCTCACACAAACCTGTCACCTGTTAAATAGCTGGTTACATTGGCAGATCCATTGTACTTCATTGGGAAGCCATATTTTTCTACAAACTCTTGGAAAAAGGCCGGGTTTGTGGATGACTGGTTGTTATTGGCAGCCCTACGGTACATTATCTGAAAAACTTCATTTAAAAAAGTCTTTTTTTAAACCGCTTTTTGGCTGCTTCTAAAATCATGTGTGTATTCGCTACTTCTTGATCAATAGATGGGTAAAGGGCAATTAAATTAGATTTCTGATTATTGGCAGTGGTGTTCTAAGAATATGAAATATCAAAAGTTACATTTATTGAAGTAATTTAGTTGAAAAAGAGAAAATACACTCATTACACAGAAATATATATCTAGTGTTTTATTTCATTGTGATGATTTGAACTTACAGCTAATAAAAACCCAAAATCCCAGAACAATGTAATATTTAGTATTTGCACAATGTACATTTTTTGCCTTTATAAAATACATTGGTGCAGTTCATTGTGAAATTGTAGACCAGAAATCAGTGTCATTCCCACAGAACCTACAACCTTGTCCACTAAGTAACTGATAGTTTACTATCAAAGAAACCATTGAATATATAATGATTATGTAATGGCAACTGAATAATTGATTGAGCACGTAACAGATAAGACACAAATCTTTTAGTTATATAGACTGAATATGACAAACAGAACACTATATAGAGTAAAATGATCCATTTAAAAGAAGCTATACAGAATATTTATATATACAATCTGAATCTAAGAAGTGAT